TAACGGCTCTGAATTGGAAATCGGGTAACTGAGATCCAATTCCAGTCGGGGGCGTTATATTTACTTACGCGCAAATACCCTTGAGAAATGTATGAATCCAGATCTTCTCCCCAAGCTATGGGTTAATTAGTAACACTGGTATCACTAACTCATTATCATCTCAAAAAAATTCTTAAAATCTAAAAATATGTTCTGGTTTTAAATAATCTGTAAAGGGGTGATAAGCCGTAAAAAAGAATCAATATATATGATGAGAAAAGAAATAATGGCGGATTGATAATTGAATCGATTGATTCTTTAGAAATCGATTTGTTACACTTTTCAAATGTGAAATCGAGTAGATGTGGGCTTTCAACGAGAGGGTGCGCATTCTTCAAGAGATGACGGATCGAACCGTGGTCGTCTGTAATACACTCTGTTGCCGGGCGATCTACGCCCTAAGCGTTCGCCTACATATACGTAGAGCACATTTCGTTTTTTTTATGTCTCTTGGGTGTGCAGGATGATAAACGGAATGTTTAATGTTTAAAACCGGGGCGTCAATCCTATCCGCTATACCATTTGGGATTAATAGGATATATATATATATATTTGTCATAAAGGGCTGTAGAGATGTTCATGTATTCCCCACACCTCTCCTTTTTTTAGTGTGTGTGTATATGTTTGTGTGTGTGTGTATGTGTGTGTGTGTGTGTGTGTGTGTGTGTGTGTGTGTGTGTGTGTGTGTGTGTGTGTGTGTGTGTGTATCTAATTATGTCTGGATGCTTATGTATTATAATCTGATTGTGTTTTTGTTGTGTCACACGTGAGTTTAAGACCATATTCACAAACTTTAAAATAAAAACGGAAAAGAAGGAAAAGAGAAAAATATATATACATGTATTATCAAATGACCGGATGTATTGTAGCGTCTGGTCTTCTCGAACGTAATTTCAATGAAGAAATGAATTGAATAAACACATATATATTTTTCTTTTATCAATAATTTTGTAGTTTTTAAACTTAATAGTGATTAAATTTGGTTTTTTAAATTGCCAGTTTTTAATTTTAATATTAAATTTTATCATGTAAATTTATAATTATTAGTTAGTATAAATTATTTTTTAATATTACACGTATTTAAAGATATGAATAGCTATTAGAGCAGGATTTCGTTGTCAAGCTTTTGAATCTTTCTATACTTCGTTTTTGATTGGTTATTCTAGCTTTTGTAACAATGTTTCCCCCAGTGTAGGATCGTTAATTAATCTGAAACTTTTAAAACCATTTATTTTCTTTTCAACATCATCACTTGATAAGACACAGAGTGTGTTGAAACAAAATGGCTATTTTGTAGTGATTTTATAACATACTTATGTTATAATTTTTTTTTTTTTTTTTATAAAAATAATTATATATATATATATATATATATATATAAATTTTTTCGAGTTACCCTGGAGAAAAAGACAATATTTATACATGTAAAAGACAATAGGAAATCTGTAATATTAGCCATTGCATTTCGTCCAATGTGGACTTTTCAAGGCAAAAATGAAATGAATTTATTAAAACTTCGGCTTTTCCTATTGTCTTTTACACACACACACACATATATATATATAGTGATTTTCCAAGCGTAGCTTAGATGTGGCACAAGGCCGAAAGTAGGGGGCACCCAGTGAGGATCGAATTCACAACCCAGTTGTAATTGTTCTAGCGAGACAAGGTCGCTAACCATTACACCATCTCGAGATGCCCCCCGCACGCACACACACACACACACACACACACATATATATATATATATATATATATATATATATATATATATATATATATATATATATATATATGGTGCGATGGATAAATTATCGTCTAAATTAAGTAAAATCACCAGTGGCTTTACAACGGTCTATAAACGACTTCGCAATCTCCTGCATCTCTTCTGGTCGGTCTCCTGGTTTAAATTGATGGATGCTGCCATAAACCTTTCCTTCAATTCATCATTGGTGTTAAAAGAAGTTTTGTTCGTCTCTCACTCAATTATCAAGGGATCGAGTTACATCCTTTAGTTCCATCAGTTCAGACGTTCACATCTAGGACTCGCCTTGCGGTGTTCACGATGGCAAGCCATCCTCGTTCTCTTCGAGTTCCTTTGATGAGAAGAAAGTTCCGCTCAGTTTCTTCCTCAGAATTATTACATTCTGTAACTCCCGAGAGGGTGCTTTCCTGACAAGTACCATCTTGATCTCTTTAAGTCCAGATCAACCGATATCTATGCTAATCGTCCTCATAATTCTCCCTCTTCCATTATGATATCACTCAGTAACCCTCTACTTTGAGCGCCCCTTGGGCCTTGTATTCGGTGAACAGTCAGTAAAAAAATAAAGCTCGAGGAATTTAAATGATCTCTATCCATAAAAGGCAGGATGTGTGTGTGTGTGTGTGTGTGTGTGTGTGTGTGTGTGTGTGTGTGTGTGTGTGTGTGTGTGTAACGAATGCACGGCAGCAATTTTCG